AAGTGGCTTCGTGTATTCCGGTAATTCTTCTATTGGATTATTATAGTTTGTTCGCTTCACGTTCCTTCCCCTAAATAACGTTGATTTGTGACACAGACGTAAGCTACCGATGGCGGGGCTCTTTCCCTACCACAGCTCTCTTTAAGGTTACTCGATTTCTAGCAAACGTTTGATCCAGCCATCGAGGAACCGCTGATTTGTAAGTAAAGGAGACCATCAAAATAGACTGCGTGGAGCTTTAAAAGCCGTGTGGTCTCATGACGTCATCTATCACTGGGATGAGAGGAGTATCACCATTCTTAAGGTATGGATTTCGATATGTAATCTCTCTCTGAGAGCATACCAAGTAAGCAATGAGTTTAGGAACTTTGACCCCTCAATGCAAGGCGTTGTATTCTTTAGGAGGAGCCTGCATGCGTATTAAAGAAACCTGGCGTAATCAGACGACTCTGGAATTGGAGACGCTAGTGCAGACACCAATGTTCTGAATCAGTTCCGCATCACCCACGACGGGACCCAATTAAACCTTTTGCTAATGAATTCATCAACTATAATATTTGAAGTCTATTATGTATAATATAACATCGTTTGGGGGATTTTTTCAACAATCTGTTTGGACGACCTATTGTTCTACTCAAGTCACCTTCCTTCCTTCGTCGTTCGCACCTACCGAAATCCTAGTTTCTAATTTTTGGACGCGGTGCACCTCGACCGGCGTTATTCTTTGATGGTGCTGAGTTTTTGTACTCCTCATCTAGGATGTAAAAATGATTGATATTTATCGGCATTGTTCTATCGGAGAATGTCCTCTTTGTCCAGCTGTCGATATGTTTTCATAACGCTGGTCGCATGTCTGCCCATCCATTCCCTGAATACTTTCGAAAGCTTGCCCTCCTTCCTATCCTGTTGACATCCATATTCCACGGCTCTTCTCCCAAAATTCGTCAAAGTTTTTCCCTATTTTCCTGTTTTTTCTAATCACTGTTCTAGCGATCTTCTGGGATTTGTCTCTGCTGGATAACCCGTCCAGACGTCATATTTCCCTTGCATCCCCCGGGAACTATTAGCTGTTTTGGCTTGTATGCCGGTTTGTAATCTTCGACGATGTTACCCTACTCTTACGTTTCCCGCTCGTGTACTTTCTGGTACAACCAGTGTAGTGCCGCTATGTAGGTACTTTGTTTGCGAATAAACTTGAAACTCTTGTGGAAATGACTCCTGTGGTGTACTACGGCACAGACCTTCCAAATCGAAAAAAACAATGGTTTCGCTTTGTATTTTCAGGCCATTGGCTGGCAACGTCTACCCTTTTAATGTTATACCACAAGCACTCCCCATAATTGTGCATCGTGGTCTCTCCAAAACCATGCCAAGGTCCCCAATCACAACCAGTAGTGTTGAATTCACTTGGAGATCTGTCGCAATTGAATTGTATACTGGGTTCAGCCACAATTTTAGGACTAGTTTAGTTGCCAACTTCGCTTTTTACTGTTGCGGACAATGCTCAATGAGGGCGTCCTCGGAATGACGGACAATCGAGGTCACTATTATCTGTTTGAGTGATTGTGACCTACTGTCACATCAAAGCCTCTGGACTCATTTCGTATAACCTCCACTGAGCGTTGTTTGACCCTTCTTCTGTTGTGACCCTTTTCAATACAACTTACAGCACGAGTTTTCGAAAATACCGGTAAGCTTGTGCTGAATCAGTGTTCGTGCACTTGGTTTCAGCTAAGTGGGACTTAGTAGCACCTCTCTTTCAGTGTGTGCAGGTGCATTAACGGAAATCGTTGGCACACTTGAATGCACTCATTAATTGTAGTCGATTACTTAATTTTCCTATTGAGGAAGTTTCATTCTGTGTAATTTTCTATTTATCGTTCAGCCCCATTGAGGGTACACAATCTATGAGGTACATAGGAGTGGAATCCATATTGGACGGGGATGGCTGAACTTGAGCTGTGGAGTGATAAGAAACGTATGCTACGCCATACGCGCTTATATCGTAAAAATTTACTTGTCGCTGTGTTTTGACCATCACCAGAATAGTGGCTCCGGATAATTAGTATTAGTGTACTCGTGTAACTGAGTCTTACGCTAGCGTTTCCGTACGACTGACCTGTACAATCACCACAATGTTGAATGGTTGCATGAAGAAATTGGATTTCCAAAGGGTAACAAAAATTATCTTCGACCGGAATAATGTCATTTTACAGTGCGTTGCTGCTCCCTATGTCCCGGTTTCGTTGTCCTTTCCCCCTATTAAAGTGCTTTAATAAATTCATCCTTGTGTGTTGTCTGGAATAGATAAGATCGAGGGGAACGCGCTGATGACAAATGCGATAGCTGGCTTAGGGGCGCCGATTTTTATGCCTAGGTCGTTGGCCAAAAGTAGTACAGTTGTGACGTTTATTGCTTGAGGTTGAGGTCGGTAATCTGTGCCGGAAAATTTTCTGCGGATAGTTCTGCTGCTGTTTTCTTCTCAGAGAGATAACTTTCACCATCATCATCGACAGCATGACATCAGTGTTCAACACCGATACTTCACTGCCGAGATTACTTTCGACGGGCTTCATCGCTGAAAGTCACTCCTAGTCATCGTGGTTGTTGATATAGAGCATCCGTGCTGAGTACCAGGATTTGTGAA